GCGCCCCAGCCAGCTCTCTGGCTTATAGGGCGTTGTGCGTTGTACGTTCAGAAGTATAGCCTTGAATTTAATTAATAATTGTACTTCCTTGACAAAATTTAAAAATTTGTTCAATTATGTATACAAAGCTTTGAACACTATTTTTAACGTTGAACGCAATAGACGGTGGATATCACGTGGATTCCACGTTGTTTCCACGTTGTTTCCACGTTATTTCATGAATCGTGAAAAACAAAACAAAATGCATCTCTTCGAGAAAACTGTACAGTTATATACCACATTTAGCAATAACTACAAGTTTATCATAAGTTCTTTTGTGGTTTATATCTGATGCATAGTGGCGGAAAAAACCTGGAATCCACGTGATATCCACCAATTCGAGTTCAAATGAACCAATGTCACAAAAGGGGAAATTATCCATCTCTTTTCAGTAATAAGTTATAGTTCTGCATTTAAAAGTGATCAAGAGAACAAAGCCAAGAGTGGTTGAAATACCGTGGATGTATCCACGTCCACGAGATTTCCACGAATCCACGTGGAATCAACGTTGAATCCACGTACCGCTCCTCTTTGGGCCAGACAATGACAAAGCCATGACCAATAAGGCAGTACCTTTCTGGGACCGGCAACGAGAGAAACCGTCTCTGATTGGCCGAGGCTTTTTGATTGTCCGAGAGCTGACGATATACCTCTTGATCTTTTCATTCGGAAAATAGCTTATTCATGGGACGGCACATTACTTTTCATGCAAAAACTGTCAGTCTTTTGGATGCTACGATCACATTGTTTTTCATAGGACTAAAATTACATATACTTGGCTCGACAGCGGAGTCACGTTAAAACAAATGTGACATCGGGATTTCACATGATTTTAATATGAGTGTAGAGTCCCAAACCGAGACCCGGAAATGGTAGACCTGATAGGATCGCAGCACATAAGTTCGAGGTTCAAGTCAATTCTCACCTGTAGGGTATTCCATCTTTGTAGATAAAAGGGCGGAAATCTGATCTAAAACGAATGGACTTGCCAACCTGATACGTATAATCAAGGGTAAATAAATTGCGTAATGTGTTGGTCATGGTTCGACTATTCGTAATGAGCCTTCTAAGACGCCTCCAACGAAATTCTCAAGATATCAGCTGATTGATCACCCTAACCTTGCAAGGTCAGGTGGGCACTACTGTCTTGAAAACAGCTTGCTAAGACCCCTAGCGAATGTGCACGTGTTGCATAAGCCTCTATATCGCTGTCAACAAACGTCGATCGCGCACGCGGGCTGACTGTCGAGAGGTGGCTTAAAGGCTTTCTGCGCAGAGAACTTTAAATCATCGCCCTCTGCTTTTAACATTTTAGTCATATTAGTCAAAATGTTCGATACGCGATTATATACAGATTCCTGCTCCATTATGTACTAGGTAGGTAGGTACGCACATTTCGCGTAAAAATCTTCGCGATATCTCACGCTGCGCATCGCTCATCTACCAAGCCTGTGGTGAGGCGCTGACACAAGAGTCGGGCAAATGCTAACCCCAGAGGTGTGAGCCGTCAACCCTCAATAATCATTGTCAAGGACACATTGTCAAGGACACACTGTCAAGGACATTACATTTAAGTAGCATGCCACACGAGGGCCATGACCAATTAAAGCTCTAATTTTATCGGTTGTCGTTAGTGACAGTTGCTCCTAGGTCCCAACTCTCACGGTAGCGTAACCAAAACCAAAATTGTCTCGCCGATTCCTTGCTTTTCCTTTCATATACCCTTAGCAGTGCAGTGCATGTACATGGCACTGAGAAGAAGAGGGAATTGTCTCATTTACGTTATTGTTTAAAAAAGGAAATTATTTGAAGACACAAGGATATAGCATTCTGCTGTGGGCCAGCCAGTACAGGCAAAATATTGACTAGTTTCAAAAGAGCTAAAATGAAAACACCAGATCTGGTGTAAACAAGAGTCTCATCTCCTAGGCTGTTATCACCAGGTCACTATGAATAAACAAACAGTGTACCGAACGTACAAGTCCACCCGTTACTGGAGTTTAAAAGCAAGTTTTATTATCTTATGTGGAATATGGAACCTTTTATTTCATTTATCTGTCAAGACCAACTTTTGCTTCTGTGGCCTTTGCAAAGGGTATGTCAGGCGAGCTGCCTAGAAGGTAGCTTATTTTCCAAAACAACTTAATAGATTTTGAAACAGTCTGGAGGCTTTGAAAGTGTTCAGAATTCGTACAACTTTACACTAGTCAAACCTTCCAGCGTCTATCACAGTAAGCTATGCTACAACGAACCTTGCAACAATGCAAAATCACTGCTGTAACTTGCAAAGTGAAAACTGTTGCTCAACTGTTTGGGTTTCGATGTGCCTTTGATTCTTTTCAATTTCCTTGGTCACGCTTTTCTCATTCAACTAATCAACTCCTGAAAGAAAAGATCTCCACTTTCAACTTAATGCGAGAACTTTTTTTAATCTAGTCTACGGTTAAACTATAGTTTTCTATAGTTTAAACATAGAAAAAGTACAAGCTTTTTGGGGACAATTGTAGTTTTGTTCAATTAAACGGTAGTTTATGCCACCTCAGTTCGCACAGAGCAGACCAAACTGCAGTTAGAGTGCTCATTCCTCCACCCGAGCTAACTTACCGTTCCCTTTAAGTGTTTCCGCTGCTTAATTATTGCCGAATCTGAAGTAGTAACATTCCAGCTGTCCAAGTTTGTAAGGAAATCATCAAGGAGGCTCCTCAGGAGTGCATCACTCAAATCAGTTGACTGGAATTGGGCGTGCACCTGCTTGTCGTCAGCTGAAACAACTCCTCATTTTTAGAACACTGATTAATGGAAACATTCATACCAACGATATTAACGGTCTTAGGTTTTGGAATGGAAATATTAATACTTTAAAGTGTTGAACAGTAAATTTGAACACTTGCGCTTGAACACTTCAGGATATCCAACGTTTAACAGTCAAACCTGAAGCCTAACACTTCTGTTAAATTTTCTTCAGTTCTCTACTCTCCAAACACTGCAATGTGTGCAACGTAGTGTTCATGTGCACGCCAGTTATATGGATATTATTTATTTGTGTGTGACCAGAATAACTGAGCCGAAGCTGAATCATGGAGATGTATCGGAAAAGATCATACTGGCGTCGGCCACTCATTTCACATCCATCTGTGAAATATTATTAATTTTGGTTGAGACTATGTCTGTGAAATGGGGACAGCATAAATTGGCAAATTTTCATTGAAAACCGCAACAAGTTGCTTAGTTGGATTTCCGAAGGGTATGAATAAGGCGTTAAATCTGTCAAAGAAACTTCCTGCTTTGTAGCCCGACGGCCTTTAAGTATCTACCTAACTGCAATAATTTTCTAATTTCCATATCACCCCTGCAAAGGCACGACTTGTCACGTATATAGATCTCTAGGGCCGATAGTGGACACATTTTTAGGGGTCTTAAAAGTTTTTGATATTTTGCATATAAATGGATAAATAAAGTTTTTGGCCTTCTTAAGATGGCCTATGGCCAAGGTCAAATTAGACGTAACTTTTATATCTTGTTAGACACTAAACTAAGAAACAACAATACATTTTGTAGGCATAGACGTATCTTTTCGGTCCCAGACACTTAGGCGCAGAAAAAAGTTGATTGATTTACTTTAAAGTTTGGGCCCATGATTTCTCCAGCAATATTGGGTTTAAAATTCTCCCATTAGGTTTTCTTAAATCAGAATCAAAATGGCAATAAGACACAGGGGCTTTGATATTCTATGTAAAACAAAGATTTTTGATTATTTTTTGGGGAAAAGGTCCTGACTTTTGTTGGGAAATTTGGAGGTGAAATATTTATACGTTTTGAAAACAGTGTCTGGGACCAAAAATATACTTCCAGTACCTACAATCTGTATTTGTTTCTTAGTTCAGTGTCTAATAAGAATTGTAAGCTCCATCCACTTTGACCATCTAGAAGGCCAAAAACTTCATTTATTCCTTTATTTGAAAAAAAAAATTATTTGAAGACTGTAAACCCTCCTTAAGAATAATAAGTCGAATATCAGTCTCATTTTACCTGGGGCTCCAGAAACCAGCACAACGGCGCATGCACCAATCGCGACAAACAAAAGGTACGTCATCCTCTATGAGCGACAGAAAAGAATGTGGCATCAATCGGCGCGCGCTCTGCTACTGTAGGGCGTTATCTCTCGTGTGGCTTATGTGAGTTTTGCAGCAAACTATTTTGCATGAACTAGAAGCAGCCCTGATCAACACATTGACCTGTCCACTAGCCAGATGCCTCATCAAGCGATAGCAACCTTCGCGTACCTCATCATCAACAAAACCAAGCAGGCCCGCCCTTCCGCCAAACATAATTGCCAGCTCCGCTTCGCTCCGCCGGGAACTCCCACAGCAAACTATTCTGCTTGAATTTCAAGCAGCGTTGCTTGAACTTTCAATCAGGCGCTTTTTGCTTGAAATTTCAAGCAACTCTGCTTGAAGTGAGCGCGTAGGCCACTTTCAAGCAAAACGTGCAACTGCACCCTAGACGTAATGGTAGGTGCTATCGAGATGGGGTTTTTTGCGTTCGCTTTCTTAGTTTGACAGTAGAGGACTACAATTACCCGCTTTGACATAAGATGGGTACATCAGTTAAAAATAAACGAAAAAGGGTACTACTCGTTGAAAAGTAACAGAAGGGTGCCGAATTTCGGAAAACACCTCTTTATAAAAGTTGTCGGGTAGGTCAAAATACCTTTAAACCACCCTGACCGATCAAAGGCCGTCGGACCCTTTTCGAGTTAAATCGGAAAAACTACTTTCCGCAGATACCCGTCCAAATTTCTCATACAAGGTGGCGGAATAGGTAGGTGGTGTAAGCGGTGCAAATACGCGCGCTGCCAAGACCTATCGTCCGCCGCAAACCGCGTGTCGATATCTAGTACCGTTTACGAGAAAACTAGTTTTTCCCGAACGGAGTGGTACTCGTTTTGAACAAGTGCCCCTCCGTTAGGCCCTGGTGCTCGGATCGGCGCCGGCACAAGTTCGTTTATTGCGTATTGATGAGGAGGTCACTTTTGCATCTGAGGTGTTTTGCACTAAACCCAGCGGTTTGGCGGTTATTGCAAGATTAATCCCTCACGTCGTCGGCGGGTGAAGCCGCCGGCGCCGCTGACACCAAGGCCAGAGAGACACATCGTCAGAGAAGCGGCCGTGGCTCAGTGGATAGCGCTGCGGGTCCGAGAACCGCTCGCACGGCAGGCATGGGCACGACTCCCGGTAACCATCACTAATTTTTTTTTTTTTTCGATCTTCCTTTGGAGCGGGCATTCGCGATGTTTGCAGATTACACAGTGCGGGCCTGAGGCCGTTATTCGTAAAGGGGAATTAGCAGGATTTACAAAATTTGATGATTAAAATATCCGAAAGTAAATACCATTCAAACACTTGCACTCCACGAAAGTGACAAAATGCCGAGAACAACACAGCCTTAACGAGGTAGAAAGTAAGAAAATGTAACGCACTCGCCGGGATGCGAACGCACGACTCTCGGCGCACTGCTGTGAGCCTCAACCCACGCGGCTACAGAGCCCCGACAAAGTCGCCACAGCTACTCCCTCGTGCTACTGTTCGAACGGCAATTAAAGACAAAAAAAAAAAAATGTCACGCTGCCACCGAGTACCGAACACACGGCTCCCGGCGCTCAACTTAGCGCCTCAACGCACTCGGCTGTACAGCCCCGACGATGTCACTACTGCTACTCCTTCGTGCTACTCTTCGAGCGGCAATTAAAGACAAAAAAAAAGTCACGCTGCCACCGAGAACCGAACACACGGCTCCCGGGGCTCATCTCAGCGCCTCAACGCACTCGGCTGTTGAGCCCTGACATAGTCGCTACTGCTACTCCTTCGTGCTACTCTTCGAGCAGCAATTAAAGACGAAAAAAAATCACGCTGCCACCGAGAGCCGAACTCACGGCTCCCGGGGTAAATTCAGCGCCTCAAAGCACTCGGCTGTTGAGCCCCGACTCCGTCGTGCGGCCGTGGCTCAGTGGATAGCGCTTCGGGTCAGGGGACCGCTCGCGCGGCTGGCGTGGGCACGACTTCCGGTCACCATCAATAATTTTTTTTTTTAGGTCATACTTTGAAGCGGGCATTTGCGGATTTCACAGTGCGGGCCTGAGGGCGTTATTAAGTGAAAGTGAAATTAGCAGGATTTACAAGAAGAGCTCAAAGTTTTGCACCACTATGTATTGTCATAATCTTCATACCCGCATCGATTGCGAAAGCGCTGTACTGCTACATTTCTCATCCGTTCTGCAGTTCCG